TAATCCAAAAAATCTATAAATATAAAGCTTTTCATAATATAGCTCTCTAGCCCTATTCTTACTATATAGAGCTAATTTTCAAAGATTTAATCCCTGATCATTAATTCAAGCTATTTAAAATTATAATATCTTTTATAAAATAGCAGCCAACATTATAATCAACCTACTACTCAAAATCAACGAACAGTTATATGAACAAATATAGAAATCCTACTATACAAAATTTGCTAACTAGGGTGTGGTGACTTAGTGAATTGGTGAAGTTATCGCACTCCCAAGCGGTTGAGTAGGAGTTTAATTCCCATTGAAGACAAAAATTGAATTTCGAAAAATAGATTCAGTAACTATCATCGTAGCCAGGAAAACTCGAGATCCTGTAACTGTGGTCATACCAATTTATTGGAACTGGAAGATCTTGGGGCCTTTGTGTGATATAGAAGTTATATGAATAGATCTTTGGATCGCAGAAAGCCACAGGGCTGATATGGCGGTAAGTACTTGCTTAGCAAGCTCTGAGTAAAGAGATACCACAAATTTTTGACGGTACTGTCACGGAGTTACCCAAACTACCGTGTATTTCTTGATATTTACAACCTGTCTTTACTCGCTTGGCTAATATATATGATGACTAGAGTATCGTGACAGATACTACCACCGATAATGTACTCACACAGATAACAGTTTATTCATTAAGAATAATTCAAAGAGCCAAAGTTAAGCATTTCCCCTATTTGGATCGATGCCTTATATATTAATACTAATCGCTAATGATTACTATATCGTTCATGCAATACTAATCGCTTCTGATTACTATATTGTTCATGCAATCACTATTTTAGACTTTTTAATTACATCGTGATCACCCGATATATTATGCATTAATTAGATCACCGATCAACACGTACCCGATCACGATCAGGTGACCTGTGATCATACCTAACCCTAGCAATACCAATACAAGGGGTGTTGGTCGTTAGCACGACAGGAGCTAAATCCCCAGGTACTTCGTCCTCGAAGTTACAACAACTCATATCCATCCCACCAAGTTTCCTCACTTCAAAATGACAACCAAATACTGCACTAACTAGTCCATCATTCCTAATCACATAGTCTAAACATAGTCGTTTGAAAAATCTCTTCCTTCCAACATTTTCAAATACTATCAGGCTACGATTAAACCTTTGAATTTCGTTTTCACCAACACACAACGTGTCCAGCTTTTTTGGATCATTACCACCTTTATCAAAACTTTCATTACTTTCAAATCTCAAGGTATTCATCACCTTAATTTTCATATTGTCGATTCGCAATGCACCTTCAACTAAACTCGCATACACATTATTCATGACTTTTTTACTTGTTTTCACCCTTCGGCAGCTTACACCATTTAACCTTACAAAATTATTCACATTACGTTTAGCCTTTAACATGCTATTCAATGTTCATATGGTGCTTGGGTGACTCATAGATGCTCCTTCTAATCCAATGCATCGTTTATTCTTATCATCACACTTGTGATCACGTGTTTCATTACCACAACTCATTTTCCCGAGGCTTTGACATTGAACAAATACCTTTTGTTCATCTTTTTCATTTTCGATTTTACTTTCGTGGTAATCTTTTCCAGATTCATTCGTTCTGCCATCTGCAGCTTCACCCCCATTATAATCAAACTCAGCCTCATTATCCTTCAATACGTTTACTACACACCTTACATTCACAACATTATTGTCTTTTCCATCACTACATTTCTCTTTCTCTTTGTCAGCACCATCATTCTCCGTCAATTTACCTTTAATACGCCTAACATCTACAAATTCGTTTTCTTTTTGATCATCATTCTTCATTATACTACCTTTATTCATATATTCATCTATGCTTTCATCAGAGATCACGAATGTTGCTTTCTCTAAGCCAGATCAGATCATACAGTGACATTTTCTATCCTTCCATTCGAAACTACACCTTGTTTTCATGACCCACGGCATTCCAAGAATGACATCAGAAGCTAATTCATGCTTAACATAAAATTCTTGAACTACTTTAACACCATCAACATCGATTTCAACACCAGGAACACATCCAATAACTTCATCATCTTTATTCAAATATTTCCAGGTAAGCCCTTTGCTTCTCACGTATCTTATGCTCATTAAATTCAAAGATGAACTGAGCCTAATCGATGCTTTTGCAAACTTTCTGTTTACCTTCACCCTTTTTACCACTTCATCATTGTCCCTATTTTTACCATCAACTTTTTGTTCTATTTTATTTTTTCTACTACGTTTCAATCCTTCATGCTTCTTTCTTCCAACTTCTACATGGCGAACATCCATCACATTATAATTTAAACTTTGATCATGACTTTGATCTTTTATAGATAGACACAAATAAGCCAAGTGCCCTTTTCGCCGATACACATAACATAAACGCGACCCACGTTTTCGCTGTTTCCTTTGAAACATATTCAGGTTCTGTACAACT